ACTCCTGCAAAGTTAAATTGAACATACGTTCTGGTTATTCTTGGAAAGTTAAATTGAATATATGTGCTGGTCACTCCTGCAAAGTTAAATTGAACATACGTTCTGGTTATTCTTGGAAAGTTAAATTGAATATATGTGCTGGTCACTCCTGCAAAGTTAAATTGAACATACGTTCTGATTATTACTGCAAAGTTAAATTGAACATACGTTCTGATTATTACTGCAAAGTTAAATTGAACATACCTTCTGGTTATTCCTGCAAAGGCCTTAACATTATAACAACGGACTATTAATGATTCCTTACATGCCTTAACATTATAACAACGGACTATTAATGATTCCTTACATGCCTTAACATTATAACAACGGGCTATTAACAATTCCTTACATGCCTTGCCATTATAACGATGGGGCTACTCTAAACATAAAGATCACGATTCGTGAATACACTGACAGCTAGCTAAGTTCGATCTGATCCAAAGAACCTTCTTCATATTCAGACCCACAAACTGACTGCTTGGTTTCACGAGACGAGCAAGAACAACTTACGATGCAATATCTTCTCCGAGTCCTGAGTGCACTAGCAATGAGGTAATAAGTTCCATTTTCTTTCCAACTGCCATGACACTGGAAACCTGGACAAAAGCAAAACAATTAAATGGCGTTCATTTTGTTTCACCACTTGTTGACTACTGTCTGATCATGACAAGTGCTTGGTTTTTGTAAACTATAGAACAAGCACATTTCCACCTCTAATTTTCATTGCTATATTTAAGTCAAAAGATCAAATAGCTTCGAGTACTTCAACTAAGACTTTAATAAGATGAGATTATGGGTAAACACCTACACCAACAGTGACAAAAATACTTTAATAAGATGAGATTATAAGTAAACACCTACACCAACAGTGACAAAAATACTTTAATAAAATGAGAGTATGAGTAAACACCTATACCAACATTAACAAAAAGACTTTAAAAAGATGAGATTATGAGTAAACACCTACACCAACATTAACAAAAAATACTTTAATAAGATGAGATTATGAGTAAACACCTATGCCAACATTAACAAAAAGACTTTAATAAGATGAGATTATGAGTAAACACCTATACCAACATTAACAAAAATACTTTAATAAGATGAGATTATGAGTAAACACCTATACAAACATTAATAAAGAGACTTTAATAAGATGAGATTATGAGTAAACTTAAAAATACTTTAATAAGATGAGATAATGAGTAAACACCTATACCATGAGATTATGAGTAAACTTAAAAATACTTTAATAAGATGAGATTATGAGTAAACACCTATACCAACATGAACAAAATACTTTAATAAGATGAGATTATGAGTAAACACCTATACCAACATTAACAAAAAGAGTTTAATAAGATGAGATTATGAGTAAAACCTATACCAACATTAACAAAAAGATTTTATTAAGATGAGATTATGAGTAAACACCTACACCAACATTAGCAAAAAGACTTTAATAAGATGAGCGTATGAGTAAACACCTATACCAACATTAACAAAAAGACTTTAATAAGATGAGATTATGAGTAAACACCTATACCAACATTAACAAACAATACTTTATAAGATGAGATTATGAGTAAACACCTACACCAACATTAGTAAAAATACTTTAATAAGATGAGATTATGAGTAAACACCTATACCAACATTAACAAAAAGACTTTAATAAGATGAGATTATGAGTAAACACCTATACCAACATTAACAAAAAGACTTTAATAAGATGAGATTATGAGTAAACACCTATACCAACATTAACAAAAAGACTTTAATAAGATGAGATTGTGAGTAAACACCTACACCGACATTAACAAAAAGACTTTAATAAGATGAGATTATGAGTAAACACCTATACCAACATTAACAAAAAGACTTTAATAAGATGAGATTATGAGTAAACACCTATACCAACATTAACAAAAAGAATGTAATTAAAGTTCTGTAGTAATTTCTTATTACTAAAGCACTCTTCTATTGAGTTAGTTAATAACGAACGACATGATTAAAATTGTCAATCTTATTAGAACGTCTTGATAGAGCAACTTTTATAAAGGTTTTTATGTAATTAAATAATCACAATTTCATAATCAAATCTCTTGCCAGTCTCTTTTTGATGTCGTATTACACGGTGAAAAACACTATTGAGTCAATATGTTTATCTGATGGAATAACCAATTGTTAAATTGTTGAATGTTGATTTAAATACTAAGATCTTCATCACCGTTAAAACTCATGTACTTGAGAATGATCGCACCTATTCTAAAAAAATAATTTTCCTTACTATAAAAGCTGCAACTTGTAATAAAATACAATAAATTAAGTTATGGATATTATATAAACTTTCTATTATATTTCTTACGAAAATTTTCTCCTTTAAATAATCACATTTACTTTTGTAAAAATCAAACACCTTTAATGCTTTTTTTTTATAGAATTTACTTACAGCCATTTGGTTTGTAATTAAGAAGGAAAAGGCACAAAGCTATTCTGGCAAGCTCTGGTATCCTTAAAATAATATATATCTTCAAATGACACAGAATGTAAAAAATAACATAACTGAGGGTAATAACAACCATTGCCCTCTTCACAACAATGGGGTAGACGGAAATTATGGCGCACGATAAACCGCTTTCAGGAAATGTCCCTCAACTTTCTAATATCGAGATAAAAGACTTTATCAGATTAGAAACAGAGCGGCATCGATTGGGGTGGATAGTAATTTTTCATCATTATCTGAGTTCTAAAGACAAACGTACACCGTCCATTATCCTTTCTCTCTGTTCTAATATTGTGCTTTTCAGAAGACTACAGTTATTGATCAACAGGAATGTTTTTCTCCTCAAAACGCTCACATATTTACTTTCGTAAAGTTTAAACCAGGAATTTAAAGTAATATATAACTGTTATATCAGCATATCTCGTGGTTTGTTAATGTGGTCCTGAATAGATATAGCACGTAGAAAAATAAATGTATTTAATTAAATGTGGTTTTTCTCATAATCAACAATCTCCAACATGTAAGATGGTTAAATTTATATTAAATATCACCGTATCTCAAGTACACATGTCTGGTTATTCTACGTTAAAATAATTCATTCTTCAGTATGTCTATATTAATGACAAAGAGTAACAGTCAAGAAAGAAAGTTTTCCTTAGCTTGTTTATCGTCACAAGATATTTAAACATATTTTTCGATTAGAAATTATAATGAAACCAAATTCACATATAATAATAAAGAAAAGCAACAATAAACATTTCAACCGAAAAGTCATAACAGAAGTTTTGGTTTAATCATATAAGCTCCTCCTACTCTTCCGCATTACTGCAATAATGATTTTATATAAAGATATATTTACATTCACTAAACCTGTACGATCTGTAGAGAATATAAATGACTTTCACGGGTCTCCAATTCTGATGAATTTCGCTGTATTGAACGTGATTCTTTCTTTCACTTTACTATAGCAACATATTGTTATTATTCTCGATACACTAACACAAACAAGGTTTCATATAAACTGATCCACACATAAATAATAGGCTTACAGAGCTTGATCAAAACTAATAACTTACTTTTAGCTCTTCTTTCAGACGAGCATTCGCTGAGGAATTCCAGACGATCAATCGCCCTACAGCCGGACTCAAGATGTTCAGAACAAACGTTATCCTCCAATCCGTCGGAGACAAATCTATCCATTTGGGGCTGGGGGGAATGAATCATATATCTTCCCACTAGAGGGCATTCTCCTGTTGATGGAGCCGATGCTGTAGATCAAGATAGTGAACTATTAAGTTTTAGGCTATCACTTTGAAATGGTTATAAAACTTAACCTATCCACTGATCATACCAGTGCATACTGGTAATAGTCACTAACCTTCCTAATTTCATATCATACATGGGCTGGTAGCACGAAGTTTGGATGTTTGTGAATAAATAAACCCGATTCTGCCTCCATGGTGTACAACTTCTTCAGGCTTATCTTTGTCTCCGCTTATTTAAATTTGTATTAGTGAAGATCAGCATTTGACGGATAATAGAGATCTGTACTGATTATATAAGAAAAAATACTGTGTCTTTTTGACTGTTTTTAACCTGGATAATAGAGGTCTGAGTTTAAAGTTTGAGTTTAGTAAATTTTGAAATAAATACCAAACTTCAAACTGAAAATAAATGAACTGTTTGAGTCCACAATCGGCCTGACTTGAAGCCCCAGTTTTCTTTATCCCTGGAGGAGGGATAGAGTCGATAAAAATAACCTAAACGAGATTCCTGAACAGGTGTATGAAAAGGCCTAAAACTACTGACTGACGGTGAAATAAAGTTCCTAAAAATCCATACTTACTTAGAGCATTGAGCAAAATAATCAAGCACAATTACTTCGAAAGCTTTTATTCAACATATATATACACACACAAATTTGGAGACTTACATTTCTTCATAACCACGCTTACGAACAATATAGACGTTGGTTTTGTCGTAAGTCTAGGACTTTCAAAAGAGACCGTTTCACAAGTTTCATGCCTCTAGCGATATTGTCTTAGAATTAAACATTATCTGAACTTTAATTATATAGTTGTAAAATTTCCCCCAGCAATTATGAAACAAAGTCTTTCAAATAAATACGTGTACGAAGTAGCTAATACTATTATTCATTTATCACTATTACTCAATCACACCATCATGCTTGTTTTTCTCACCAAGAAACACGTAACTGATGAGTTTATCAGACATACACAAAAAACAGATACTTACAAGTAAGTGTGGTAAACAGACTAGTTCTTGAATCAAAGTAGACGGAAGTGCAGGCATCAGAAGAACGAGAAGTCATTAAACCTGTAAAGGAAAGCTTACGTTCAACATTAATCGTTTGTTTACTCCCATAGGCAAATTAATATTACAATTATGTAATAGTTATAGTAGTTACTTTTTGATATCTTAATTATTATATCTCTGAATGTGATCAATTTTGGTTGCATAGGGTAACAAAAAGATGAGATAGACTACCATCTAAAATTATAACAAAGGCAAACATTTAGTTGTGCAATATGAAGTCATACATATTGTCAGATGTATAAGTAATAAACAAAAAGCTGAACGGAATAACATCCTAGGTCTTCAACAAAGGCATGTATTTAATAATATAATATTAAGTTACACGAAGTACTAAATATAAACCAAGAATAACAAAGCTGAACTAGACATCACTACAGAACTAAAAAAGAAACATTTAATAATAATGTATTAAATCATACACGACATCAGAGGGACAAACAACAATCTGAATTAAACAATGCCGTAGATCCTTAACTAAAGTAATTATGCAATGATGAAATATTGAATTATGTGAAATATCCCAACTAGAAAGTATTTTGTAAGCATCCATTCGAATGACTTCAATTGAATATACTATGAACTATGTTTATTTCTATCTTCAAACACGTGGTATTTGTTAATTTTGGAGCTAAGCAACCATATAAATTTTGTATTCTACTGGTTAAAACTTGTGCACGTTTAGATCAATATTTAACGTTAATGATATCAGAGATTATAAATTTCGTTACCAAAGATGGTATTTTCTCTAACTTATAACTAACTAATTCATTGCAATGAATTTTATATCTGAACGTTGTCATGACTGCCAAACTAACAAGAGTTTCCTGCTTACTGACTTGAAAAGTCTGATACTAATTTTTTAGATTAAAACTCTTCGAAAATGCTTTGATTGAGATGATAAAATAACAGGTTTGTAGAACCAGGTGCGATTGACTTAAACTATTTTGTCAGTGATGTCAAAGCTCTTAAAAAAATAAACTGTTCAGCGTATTTTTAATGAAGAAATGCTATAGAAGTAAAAAAAAAGTAACATTTAGTTATGTACCTTGAAAGCCAAAACAAACACCGTGATATTGGAGTGCTATATAATTTTTTTGACAATTTTGAAAAAAATATCGTCTTAAGATCTTAAAAATCATAAAATATTCCTTCTTCCTACAAGATCTTCCTACTTGAGTATATCAAAAGATTAACATATTAAACAAACCATAAAACTACACTTATAAATGAGAGGAAAACAAAGAAATTTGTTTGTAATTAAGCACAAAGCTACACAATGGGCTATCTGTTTTCTGCCCACCACGGGTATCGAAACCCGGATTCTAGCGTTGTAAGTCCGCAGACATACCGCTGTGCCACTGGGAGGTCACAAAGAAATAGGCGAATAGATATTGTAAAAAGAAACGGGCGAAAGATCAAAAATCACTGTGGCAAATAAAACAAAATACCGTGTAGTGATTTTCACATCATAAGAATAGAGACAACAAATTTTAACATTTGTGTGTGTAAGGAACAGCAAATCGGTTACAACAACTGTCAAAAATGTTTAATGTAATGTCTTTAAAGAAAGACACGATTGAAAAATCATGTACGAATGCTTGTTATAAGTTTACTTATAACATCTTCATAACAAACTAAGGTTACGCATTTTCATCATTAGTATTCCAGGCTAGCCTCAAATGACTTTTAATGTGCGCTCTCTGTATCTTCGTCAAAGCTTTCTAACCGTTCATTGGACGTGTCTGTTATTAGCTTGAGATATTCTTCCTTTGGGATCCATCACCCAGAAGATATATTCGTTTGGTATCACTACTAATTGTGTTTTATGCACATATGTGATATATAAGTACTTCGCCGATTAATAAGAATATGGAAACAAAGTCCAGAGCATCAATTTTATTGAAGAACTAACTTTCTTTTTCCATCTAAGACACAATTCTTCTTTCTGAATACTAAGTTTAAGTAGTTCTCCAATCAATGCACTGCAGATAATCTTGAAGTGAAAGGGAATGATTTATGGAGACCGTCACCGAGTTATTTTATTTTTGAAAAGCGTTTTATGTTTGTAATTCCCGATCTATATGCATAATCTAAACTTTTTATTAAGTGAGAAAGTTTTCAAATCCGTAAGTTAATAAGCTAATCCGTCATTTGAATTAAACCACTAAAAACAAATTATACGCTCAAATCGAGAAAGAAATATTGCCCTTCTTAATGTTGCTGTCGATGTCATTGACGAACATCATGCTGCCATAAAGACGTTAGTACTATAGGTTATTCAACGAGTAACTTTTTGATTTAGTCATTCGAGTATCCAAAAAAATTTACTTTTTTTACACACCTAATGAATCTGTTCATTCCTTTAAAGAAACCTCTTGGCCTTTAAAAATGAAGTACACAGGCGTCCTTTGATCAAAACTTTTGGCTTCAAGAAAGTACATTTTTAGATAAAACTTGTAAACTATTGCTTTGTTTCTTTTATTACTCCCTAGTAGTGGTATGTTATTGTTTTATTAGTGTATTAGTGGAGATATAGAAAATTTGAAACAGTAAAACGTTATCTAGAGACTCATGCTAGTACATGAAAGTCGATAAACATAAGATCAAAAGTCACATAAACATTGTTACCAGAGTCTAGGTTGTTGTTAATGGAAATGTTGTCCATTAAAAATATCGACTATAAAATGATAGTTAGCCTAATCAACGTTTAGATTTCAAATTTATGATACTAATTCATCAATGTACATTAACAGTCTGATTAATTTATTTTCCATTTCATCTGTTCACAACCACTTACTGCGTGGAAAAGTTGATTTAAAGTAGGCGAGTGTTGACGATAGTAATTCTGTTTATTTTAAAATCCATTCTCTAGTGTTATTTGCTAATGGTGACGAGGTAGATAAAACAAAAAAGTCTACATTAACACCACTTAATTACCAAGTATCTGTAACAGTACTTTCCAATTGAAAAATGATTTTGTTTTTGTCCACAAAAGCTATCGTTACAGAAAAAAACAAAACAAAAACCCAATGCAGTGTTATGCCAATATAACTATGCAACATATTTATTTTCTACAGTATATATGACGCAATAACGTTGATAATTTTAGTGGTGTAAGTATCTTAGCAAGGAAAATATAAAGCTCATGAGTTTGCTGAGATGAACTCTATGAAATTAATGGTTTAAACAGTCTCACATTCTCATCATGTTTATCCGAAACCTACACTGATGAGAACGACTGGTACTGCTCATCAAACGGATACCCTGTCACCATCAGTGCTGCTCATCAGACGGATATCCCGTCATCATCCGATACTACTCATCAGATGGACACCCCCTCAACACCTGGTACTATTTATTAAACGGATACTCCGTCACAACCATCTTTTACCACTCATCACGCGGATACCACGTCACTATCTGGTACTGCTCGTCACCATCATTCAGCAGAAATTCCAAAGTTTTGGTAACAGTTTTGACTGGACTTGCGAAATACAATTTACAAATATTTCCTCATTATGAAACTATTTGGAATGTTACTAAAATTCAAGAGAGAGAGAGAGCAAACAGATAAATACGTATCAAGTGATACACTGAAGAAATAGTGAAGAAGTGAGAGGAAAAGTCTAGTACGTTATGAATATATACTTCATGACTCGCTTTTGGTAAAACTGAACAATTCACGTTAGACTCAAGTTACAAATAATAAACATGTCAACATATTGAGATATTGCCATTTGGAAACAGTGCTATTAATTTTCTATAGGACTCGGAGCGGAACTGATCCATAATTGTTAGGTGAATTAAAACAAGGGGTGTAACTCTTGTTTATCCAAACATGTATATAATCACACAAAGACTTTTTAAAGCATGAATAACAGGCGGCGAAATGGAAATGAATTTAATTATAATCTTTACCTTTAGGAAGGCGAGTGAACTTCAAGTGTAGGGAATTTCCACTATATAAAACGCATTGAGAAAGGTGGGCTTACTTACCTTGTTGAATTTCCATAATTTGCTGGGTACGGCGATGCACTTTCATACAGACAAAACCCGTTTTGCTGAAATAGAAATACTTATAAACTAAAATATCAACTTTATTTATCTGACTGATCATTATTCTTACTTTCGTATTCACACGTGTCCTTAAAATCTCAATAATAGCAGCTTTAAAATTCAGTAGGTAATTTCTAATGTATTTCATTAATCACATTGCATGAATAATAAACCAGGGTAATCTAAGAAACCATCAACTAACACATAAAATAAAATTATCTAATTACTAATAAAATACATTCTTAATTATAGATATCTAATATATGCATACAACATTTCTCTTAAAGACAGCTTATTTTAATGTTTTATTACCTAAAGAATGGTTAGGGACAGATGAATATTATTAAGAAAAGATTTACTTATTTGAAAATCAAAGGGCGTAGTCATGATGATAAACAAAACAAAAAAAAATGCACTTTTTCCAAAGAAATAAGACGCTCTAACTGTTCAAGAGACATAACGATAATTTTATTTATTTCTTTAATTCGTATGTTGAAGTTCTACACGTAATAGGTAACTAGCAAATCAAACAACATTTTAACTCGATTGTTCTCATAATGCTGTTAAGGGTCGGGAATGGCTTATTTGTTAGCTAGCCCGCACTTTGGAATTGTGGGTGTGCTGTAGGAATAATATGAAGTGAGGCGTAAGGCAACATCATTTGAAAGTACAGAACGGGAAGATGAGTGAGTGTAAGAAAGTAATTGGCCTCTGACCAGCCTCTAAGGAATTAGGGGATTATAATATTTTAAGTCATTAAATGATTAGAGTGAGCAGGTATAGCGGCCGCTTTTCTAAGCTCAGTCGGTATGGAGACTACAAGACCCTATATGATTATGAGACGTTATAATCAGACATACGGGGACAAAGTGTAATGTCCGAAACAAAGAGATCGGTTCGGCGTGTGTTTGGGAGTTCAAGGAAAGGAAGGGTTGGTTCGAATCCCACTTCTGACACCATTCGTCACGATCGTGCTGCGTTCGTACTTCGTTTTTCTTCCTTATGCACATCAACTTTATTTACGTTCTATTTATATTCCTATCAGAAATTGATTAAACAAATGTAAACACAACAAATACCTGTTTAATTCTGGTAATCAATAGCACACAAATTTATAAATAGGTTTTTACTTTCTTCCTGCACCTTTCTCGCTTTGTCTTCTTCACACACGCTAAAAGACATGCTTTTGGTTAAATGATAATTTTAACTGTAACTTCGAGTATTGGACAGCTATCGCAAATGTTTTTAGATCGGTTTTAAATTAATTTTTAATTCACACGTTTCATGTTATTCAGTTTATATAGTTCTCACTTTTTTAAAGGCACACGGTGGTGTTTTGTTTGTTTTTAGTAGTTCGCCCACTTTTCCTTGGAGTAAATAGTCATATAAAAGAATAACCAGAACGTATGCTCAATTTAATTTTGCAGGAGTGACCAGCACATATATTCAATTTAGATGTAAGGAATCAGTAATAGTCCGTTGTTATAATGTTAAGGCATGTAAGGAATCAGTAATAGTCCGTTGTTATAATGACAAGGCATGTAAGGAGTCATTAATAACCCCGTTGTTATAATGTTAAGGCATGTAAGGAATCATTAATAACCCCGTTGTTATAATGTTAAGGCATGTAAGGAATCAGTAATAGCCCGTTATTATAATGTTAAGGCATGTAAGGAATCAGTAATAGCCCGTTATTATAATGTTAAGGCATGTAAGGAATCAGTAATAGCCCGTTGTCATAATGTTAAGGCATGTAAGGAATCATTATTTGCTTTATATCTTCTTATTACCGAACTTTCTTTCCCAAGTTATGTTGTTTGTCACCTTATTTTCTCAGCTGATTTTTTCTTGCAGCTTTATTTATGTTATAAAATATACTCGTACTAAGTTAGAATGTGACATTTACTTGGATCAGTCTTTTAAAAATATTGAAAATTTTCAGTAATTTATAAAATATATGGATTAAGCTTTTGAGTTTTTGTCTTCTTTTTCGGGTTACCATAAACTCTAAACATCGTATTACCTCTTCAGGTTACCATAAACTCTAAACATCGTATTACCTCTTCAGGTTACAATAAACTCTAAACATCGTATTAACTCTTCGGGTTAGCATAAACCCTAAACATCGTATTACCTCTTCAGGTTAACATAAACTCTAAACATCGTATTACCTCTTTAGGTCAACATAAACTCTAAACATCGCATTACCTCTTCAGGTTACCATAACCTCTAAACATCGTATTACCTCTTCAGGTTACCATAAACTCTAAACATCGTATTACCTCTTCAGGTACCCATAAACTCTAAACATCGTATTACCTCTTCGGGTTACCATAAACTCTAAACATCGTATTACCTCTTCGGGTTAACATAAACCCTAAACATCGTATTACCTCTTCAGGTAACCATAAACTCTAAACATCGTATTACCTCTTCGGGTTACCATAAACTCTAAACATCGTATTACCTCTTCGGGTTACCATAAACTCTAAACATCGTATAACCTCATGAGATGAATGGTTTAATAACATAATTTTCACTTTTGTCTTTGAGATAACCGAGAAAAGTTTCGCAAAAGAAAAAAGCGAGCTCGAGCTGACGACGGCACTGCAAATAAGAAGAATACCTAAGATTGAGATAAAAAAATTGAACGTATGCTACCCATACAAACTAGAAGGGATCTGTTGTGCTGTTCTTGTTAGTTCTATAGCTCTGTCTCTCTCATAAACACACAAGTTCAGAAGGACTCTAAAGAATCCCATTACATATCGAAGAATTAATAAAACTCCAAGCGCTTTTCATATTGTACATGCATGATAAAGTGAATAAAAACGGAAGTACCGCTAAAGGCAGGAATATATATGTACATATACACACACACACTAATATATATATATATACACACACACATATATATATTTATATACCATCAAAACTAAAAAAGAAAATATTTCTACCTTACACATGTTTAATCCTTTGTCAAATATTATGCTTTAACGTTTGAAGATAAGAAAGAGGGTATCGGCTCTCAGATCCGAGTAATTATAGTAAACATTACAATCACTGCATCTTATAAGCAAATAATGTAGCTCTTTAGAGAGTTCTATTTTTATTTTAGAGAGGAATTAGGAATAATTCAGTTTAAACGCCTGCAGCTGGTGAAGAATTGATATCCAGTAAACTTGGTATATGTGACGAAAATCACTAAAGACGCATAATATTTTTTTTCTCTTAATTTACCCATTACATTTATTTTAGTTTGTTCATTACGGATTTCAAACCACAAATGTGTTAAATTAGCATTTCGGATCTATCTTTCTCTCCCACAAGTAAATGCCAGAACTGGCTACCTGAAATGTATTCTTACAAGTCTCTGGTGTAAAAGCCGTAACTGACTAGTCAGGAGGAATGGAAAAAAATTGCCAAAGTGATTTTAATCCCAAATTCTAAACCTATTGGATTTCAACACTTTCAGTGTTCAAATACTTTTAAATACTTTCTACTTCATAAGTAAATAGCGTTTCAGGTAAACTTTTATATTTCATGGTCCAAACTATCTTATATTGGCCTACTAAGAGGGAAAGGGCATATATAAAATGATGTTTTTACATCGATGTCATGGTTAGTAGCCTATATAATCGTCCATTTTTAATTATTAATTAGACATAGCTGAGTTGGGGGATTGCACCATAGCCCTTCTAATAAGAGGATCGAGGATCGAACCCTGGCTTTTACTACCACAAACAGTGCTTCTCAAAACGTAGGTGGTCGTACAAGCTGCTAACTATCACAAAAATGACATCCAATCTGTACAATCTTATTGTATATACGTGACATCTCTGGTTTGAAATCCGTAATGAACAAACTAAAATAAATGTAATAAAAATTCAGCTCAAGTAATTTCTGTCTTAAATACTAGGTATATTTCTTCCATTATTCCCGTATGTGGCTTAGCAGTAAGTCTGGGGGTTTATGACGCTGAAAATCGAGTAGACAGAGACAGACAGTTCATTGTGTAGCTTCGCCTTTAACACCAAACAAACAATTCTTCCGTTATTGTTTTCCTGCAAAAGTTAAGTATAATTAATAGCTTCCTTACCACTATCTTCTGGTGAAAATAATAACTTTTCTTAGTTCATAAGATAATGAGACACGAGATTAAAGTTTATGACTTCTCTGATGACAAAATTAATTAATGTATTGCACAATAAACTTTGTGGATATGCATATCTTACAGAAATATTTTTGTTCAGTCTAGAAATAATTAAATGCCATTTAAAAATTGAAGGTCAGACTTTTTAGATACAAAAAGTGAAAGTTAAGATATATTAAAGAATTTAATAAATACCCTTACTTTTTCCTGTGAGGCTAAAGGCAATGAATCCATCTCGACCAAGTCTGATGTTCCTCAAGCAAACGTCGGGACTTCCGGAAAAGTGTAGAGTTTGATCGTCTTCCGCAAACACCTGGAATAACATGAATGTTTGTTTGTGAAACTAATTATAATCTGAACTATACAGAAATTTATTGTATTATTATCAGAAATGCAGGAGCTAGGCATAGCCTGGAGATTAGAATCTCCGGACTGTGAATCCTTTGATTCAAAGTTCGTGGCTCGTTGCCGCAAACACGCACTCGACACTTAAAAGCCGCCGATGCGCTGTAAGAGTTTGTTTGTAATTAAGCACAAAGCTACGCAACGGGCTGTCTGTACTCTGCCCACCACGGGTATCGAAAGCCAGTTTCTAGCGTTGTAAGTCCGCAGACATATCGCCGTACCACTGGGGGAGGGCGCTATAAGAGTAACGGTTGACAAGAGTAGCCAAGTAGCCGTCTTGTAGATTTATGCGAACCAGAAATACAATTTTACCTCAAGCAAAACGTATACAATTAGTGCTTTTTAATGTTTTTGTTCAGTGGATAAATATAGATACTGCAATCAATTATATTCCCAGTTCTTTAACAGAACATTACTATTGTTAACAGTTACTGATAATTTGCTTCA